AATTAAAAATTCATACGAGGGGTATCAGCAATCGAACATGCTGAATAAGTACAACTCACATGTCTTTCGAAAACCAGTTAGTTTCCCACAAACATGCACATAATGTTTTACAATCATAAAAATATCTAATATTTTCCTTTACAGAGTAGTAATTTTGAAAATAATTCGCACATGAATTTATCGGAGGTGCTAGACCTGGGATTTGAACCCGCTTCATTGGTCTTCTGAGCTATCGCCACTAGGTTACCACTGCTTTATCACTACAATATGCTAATAATATTTTATTAATAAATATAATATTTTATTATATGATCTGTTGAAGTTTGTTTACGATTATAGGATGAGAGGCCAAAACGCAACTAGTTATATGGAAGGTTCTGATCGAATTACATACTAAATTCTACCGGAAGTCATTGTTAATGACGAGCTCAATTAAACAAGAAACCGTTGGAGTGTAATCCGTTGACTTCGAGGCACGCATTGAGTATTTCCGTCAAATTAAACAGCGCCTTAGCGCAACTATTTATAAAGATTTTGCCGAGGGTGATCCCATTCAAGTGAAATTTGACGTGTGAGACCTTCGAAACGATCTAGCCGCCATTGTGCGGAACTCAGCGAACATGTCTACCTCATAACCTTTTCTTTATTATTCTCTAAGATGTCTTCATTTTCTGGACTCGTTATTAATATAGAGCTGCGTATTGACGTCGTTTAAATTTAGTTTACATTATTTTATAAAGAAATAGTTTTTTAAATACATGAATTGTAAGTTATTTTATGGAAATAATATTTCCAATCTATAGAACGTGCCTGAACGTTTGAAAATTTAAGGTCTTTTATTTATCGTTATTTCTCTTTTATTTGTTTTATTCCCAATTTGTCAGTTTATCGCTACTCAGTAAACAAATATACCTCACGCTAAAATAAAATTCATTATATATCTCAAAGACAAAATTATCAAATACATAGATCGCCAGCTCTATTCTAAAGTTAATATGAAAAAAAGAAATTATGGTCTATCTTTAAATACAATAAGGAAAGAGCAACTCTACATAAATACGGCGTAACATATGAAACCTATCGCGCGTCTTGTGAATAAAGAATACACATAAAGGCTCAAACACGACGTGTCTTATATTTCCAATTTATTTAGAGATCTCGAAATACTCCGGTCGCGCAGCCACCTACTTCATCACTAAGGTGGAAATCAAAATAGGGACCACGTTATACTGGTTGTATACGACAATCATGTCTCGCACGATCTCATTTATAAAGATTCGAAACGCATTTCCTGAATGAATACAATTTGAAGACGAATGCGTTTCTGTATTCGCAATTTCTATGAACGTTTGTGCGCTTGATTCGATCTTAATATCGCAATATTTTGTGAATCGGTGGAACGGCTTTGTTTATTAACAGTCTTATTGCGAAAATTCCTTTTTATTTTTTAGTAGCGACTTATCTAACGCTTCGGGTGCGTCCTTGGGTACGCGGATTTTGTTCACAATTTCGCGACAAAATCCGAAAAGATAGTTTTATTTAAAATGTCAAATATTCGCGTAAATCTAAGAAAGTATTAAGAAAGTATTAATTTCACTTGTCACAATTTACTTGTGCGAGACCCTAATTCTTTTCCTAAAATAAAAGTAGACTTAAATTAATATCAGCTATCTGCCAGTAAAAGTCCCGTCAAAATCGGACCAGCCGTTTCGTAGATTAGAAATATATTAGTACCGTATATACTTTCATATGTATGTAGATATTTAGTAAATAAGCTGTTATTTTGGACATTACAAACAGATACTTCATTTTATTTATTTATATAGATTTAATAGATCTGCGTATACAGTTTTGAATTATTTAGGGACCTCGTACATATACTTAGTTATTATATAATATTCAATGTTAATTATGGTTTAACAAGGACGTTACTGTGAACTGTATGTACATTGTGTACTTCTATAATAATATGTTCTTTATAAGCTTAATTAGTCAAAGTAACATTTCTAAATGCTCAATATCACATATATTATTCATGAAACCACATGAATTCAAATTATAAATTATATCAAAACGTAACCCCATAACAAATTGGCAAAGGGAATAGCAAAGTTGTACAAAAGCCGTTCTTATTATAGAATGGAGTGGATGACATACACTCATCGGATTAATGCCCATATTAGGCATGCATCAAAGAGCTCCACAGTATTGTGAAGTGCCCTTCTGTGATTTAACTTCGAACAATACGACCAAATTATAAGCAATCGCTACCTTTGAGAGCATCTTGACCTATTTCTGCCTGTATTAAATTAAATTTGTGCTTCCCATTATAACAAGGAATATATTGGAGAAATCTATATATTGGTATACAAATTGACGAATGTGTTTTATATTCTATAAGTCTGCGTATGCCTGTTACTGCACCAAATGTTGCGTATTTGATCCCTTCGTTGAATGAATGAAGTGGCCGCAAATTCGGGAGTCCTGGGTTCGAGTCCCAGGTCGTGCCAAATTCAGTTATTGAGTATTTCTGTAAAACAAATTCTCAGTAACAGCACCGGGTTGGAAAGTTGGCAGTGTTTCACCCCCGTGACTCGCAGAGCACGCAACGCCGTCAGTCCTGCGCCTTAACTCTTACCGGTCGTGTCGAAGTATCGTCCCATTAGACTTTGAGAGTATAAGGAATAGAGAGTGCACTTGTGTCTGCGCATACACTTGTGCACTATAATATCTCCTGCGCAGTTGGCTAGACTCAGTACGATCGACCGCAATGCCAAAATCGGTCAGGAAAACATTATTATTATTAACACAGGGAAAACACCTGGTATGTTTTGTGTCAATTGCGTAAGAAAAACGACATGCGGCCAGATTTTTATAACACGCGACTTCAACCGCGTAGTTATATTTACCAAGCTCCTAAAGGTTTCCTAAAGATTCAATTCTTTAAAAAAAAGTAAAGGAATTTTTCAAATCTGACGTGTCACAGATTATGAAATATTTACTTTGCACAAATATTCCATAAACAATTAAAACTTAAAAACCGACTTCCAGGCACCACAAGTCAAAAATTACTAATCGGGGGTTTTCATTTAGAATAAATACCTAATCAGATATATTCCAAGTCGGAGTGATTTAATTTGTGTCAGCTGGCAGTCGTTTTTTTATTTTTATTTTTTCATTTTTAGTGTGGACATAATACGCACTTAATTTGGAAGCAGCTTCTTTATAACTAATTCGTTTATCCATTTATTTAAAAATAATTTGTTGTTGATTTTTTTAAACCGAGACTGAATTCGATAAAATTTAAATGGAACCACCTGGAAAGTATACCCTTTGAAATAAAAAAAAATCCAAATTGGTTCAGGCGTCTTCGAGTAATCGGTGAACATACATAGAATAAGATTCCGACGAATTGAAAACCTTTTTGAAGAAATCCGTTGAAAATATATTTCATCTTCTACTTATACTTTGTGGGTCGATTTCTTAAGGAAAAATATTTACAATATTATTCTATAATGATATTTAGAAAAATAAATTTAAATATTATATTTTTTAATTAATATTATTAACAATAGCATTGCCAAGTAGGGTTGACGTCAGGCAGTTAACTTTTGCCAAATCCTATCAGCAGTACAGAAGATGTACTGCGCCGACCCCAAGTGATCGGAAAATGGGCAGGGAGAAGAAGAGGAAGATTTTTTTATTAATATTATTTTTGTTTCGTAACTGTTTAAATTATTCATTAATGTTATAAATGTTCCTTCATAAAGTATACTCCCAGTCTAGTTCATGAATAACTAACTTAACTAACCAGTTATTATTAATGTAATTGCTCTGTAATTTTATAATAATCTAAGTTTGATGGACATAAGTCTTAAAGTTAATATTCATGTACACGATAATCTTTTACTATTTCATAAATTAGTAGCTTTAATATGATGGCAGACCTTTTATTTGCTGTTATAAATTACCTATTTAGAAAGCCTATTACATTTATACGTGATTGACATTTCAATGTGAAAAGATTCTTTATACATCACGGTTAAAATAAAAATTGTTTTCCGTCCTTTTTTAGCAACGTCTCATAGCCGGGCACGGGCCTCTCCTTAATACGAGGGATATCAGTCCACCATCCACCACGGTGGCCAAGTGCAGGTTGTCGAAGTTCACATATCTTGCGATAGCTAGATTGATTTTTTTGCGATGTTTTCCTTCACCTTAAAGCAAATTATTGGTAATCATATTGAAAATAATGTGGACATGAGAATATCTGAAGACCACGGTTTTGAACCCGTTTCATTTACTTTCCCTAGCAAGCAAATTATATTAGAAGTAGGCTACTACATATTCAACTAACGTATACTAAAGCTTATTTCAGTTGGCGCTAATTAAAGTATCACTTATTGCCCACCAAAATAAACTCTAAAATTGACAAGTTTTATTAAATTCTTATGCTTTTTTTGATTAGTGACGATTACTCTTTAGCCTTTAGTGCAACATTGGTTGTACAATAAAACCGTTTAATATCCATACTAATATTTTAAATGTGAAAGTGTGTTTGTTTCTTTGTTTATTTGTTTTTCTGTTTTTTTTGGGGAAAAAGTGATTCAGTAATTCTGATCAGAATTACTTGAAACTAAGTATAAATGCTTTTCAACACAATTAATTAAATACGAGTTTTAGTACTTTTCGAAATTCGTTCCATAAGGAGGTATAATAGCGGATAAAATTGTATGAAGCCTGCCATTTTAGACCCGAAGAAGCCGCAGGTCTGCTAGTAAGATTATAATTATTTTTTAAATTACTTGATATAAAAGATATTTAATTATTTTTCTATGAATTATAAATAGTTATTCTTCATTTTTTTCAGCGATGAGCATAACTCACAAAGTAAATGTCGCATCGTAAGGACACATAAGTTTTAAGCCTGCTAAGCCATAAGATATAAGCACTTCAACTCAGAATAGAATCATTAATCAGGTGTACAGTCAGGTATCAAAATGGCGCAGCATAATTCTTTGAGACAAGAAATAATATACGAATTAGAATTTGTGCAATTAATTGGAAAAAAAATATTCCTTTGCCCTTTTATAGATAGGAATAAAATTCAAATGACTGGATACTTTGTAACTCTCATTTTGGTACTTTGTACAGTAATTCAACTAACTCTAACGTTGTTCTCAAATAACACTGATTGGTTAGAAATTACAAATGTTGCCCCAAATTTAGGAGTGGTTTTGATGACTTTTATAAAATACGTGAAAATCCATAAACATAAAAATTTTTACAATGAAATTTTCTACCATTTCCGTGATGAAATGTGGGATATTGTTGAAATACGTTCTGCCGATCACCAGAAGATTATCAAAAGTTATAAATGGATAACTATGTGCATTAATAGATTTTTACTATACTATTCTATTCCTCTCACTGTAATCGTCGATTCATTTCCATACATAGTAATGTTATATGAAGAGAAATTCAAAGGATACAGTGAATATTTATACCCATTTGATGGATGGTACCCATTCGATAAAATAAAATGGTACGCCGTTGCTTATATATGGGAAAGTTTTATGACAGCTGTTGTTGTAGTTGTATACGGCTTTTCAAATATGATACATGCATCTTTCATAATATTTATTTGTATGGAATTAAGAATACTTGGTAGTAGACTAGAAGAACTTATAAGTCCTGAAGATATATTCGCCATTAATGAAAAACATTACGCAGATCATATTCATCACAGAATTCTTAGAGATTTAAAAAAGTTAATAGTCAAACATGACTTTTTAACAAAGTAAGTATACGCTACAGGATTTAAAATTTTAATACAATTTTTTTTATTGAATGATAACAATAACCGTTACTGTTAATTTTCCAGAACGTCGGCAAAACTTGACGCAATTTTGGGTGACGCGATGCTTCTCAACTATTCCCTTGGAGCCATATTCATTTGCTTAACAGCTTTTACGTTCTCTGTACAAAGATGAATATTTAAAATAATGATAATGACGCTTTTATAATGTAGCAATAGATTTTTTATAGTTTGATATTGCTATGTATATTCTATTAAATTCTATAAATAATATACTAGAAATGTAATATTATGATTTACAACACATTCTGTTTTAGGTAGTGGATAGCCTGTACAAATCTATACGTTACTTTTTTATGTTTATCGGCCTGCTCATCGAGATTTTTAATCAGTGCCTAATCGGACAAATACTTAGTGATCACGTAAGAACTTACTTTCTTCTTGCTAAAATTCTTTGGAAATTATTGGTTTGATTTGATTGGTGCCCTTTGTATATTTAATGTCTTCTTTGAAATATAAAATTGTTAAAACGGATACATTCTGTTGCTTTAAAATAAAATAATTTAAGCTTAAGTGTAAAATGTAGAAAAGTGGAAAGTAGAATAGTTAAATGTGATTTTTTTTTACCAGAGTCTAAACCTAACAGAATCAATTTACTCCTGCAACTGGCCATGTGCGAATCCTGAAGCAAAAAAGATTATGCTCATGCTAATAATGAGAACACAGAAACCTTTTGAGTTGACTGGCAATGGATTCGTTGTAATGAATATGAACACTTTCAGCAATGTAAGAAAAATCGGACTACTATTATTATAATTAATATGAAAGTTTATACGTGTGTTTGTGTACGTTTGTTACTCTTTAACGTTAAAACAACTGAACGGATTTGGATGCAATTTAGTACATACTTAATAGATAAACTATGATCTGAAATAATTATTTAACAAATTGAATAAAAGTATGTAAAATAAAAAAAAATTAAGTTTGCCTTACTTATTTTTAGTAAAAAATTAAGTCAAAGCTTATATAGAAACACTACAATCTCTGAAATATTTACTACAAAGATTGGTTAAAATCAAGCACGTTAGATTAGTACTATTTTACACAATATATTATGAAATATTATATACTTAGAATGAATTCAACTCCTCATTTACTTAATTTTACTGTTGTTATTGCGTTTACTTATACGAGTATGTTATTTTATATTTAATTTTGCTTCATTTCAGATTTGTAGTACATCTTATCAATTTTTTAACCTGTTAAGGACTATTTATCTTTAGTACCTACCATCCTAAATATATATATATATATATATATATAATTAAAAGTAGTTGTCTATTATAATGTTGTCAATATTTAAAGCGCTTTTTATTAAAGTTAGGATAGATAAAGTTACAATGTTAAGGATAAGTTAATTACAAAATTGCTACCTATCATTAAAAGTACACTTTTATCTACATTTGCCACAGCGACGACGTTATCTGATATGGTAAGCATGGTGAGATATTGTCGCTTAATTTCTTATATTTAAAAAAAAACAAGCTTTATATTTTATTATTAAAAAAATTGTAAATTATTATTATATTTACAATTTTTAGCAATAAATAAATTTATTTTGAAAGCAATATATGACAAAAATATAAAATAACATTTAAATCATCCCTCAATATAGAACAAATGAAAGAAATAAATCTACAAAAATTGCGATATGCATATGGCGGTGAAACTGAAGAAGCTGAGTATAACAATGACTTTATTGAAGCCATTTCGCACCAATGCCATAACGCCAAGATGTCTACATTTATATTACATCTTGAGAACATTTTGAGAGAACACTTGTTATGAATGAACTTCTACTATATTTGAGAAACTTAAGCCAAATGATATAATTTTTATGTTATTTTTGTGATAGTAATTATTGTATTAGTATTAATCTACTTAATATTAATGTAATGGAAATAGATGCACTTACCTAAGTGTATAATAGTTGTTTGGTAAATTAAAAGTAAGAGTTTTCCGAGCAATTTGCAATATATACCCCTATAAATAGACATTATCAAAAGTTTAATCACGACATCAACACACGTGTATTGTGAATTACATTACGCTATTAATAAAATAATTGATATCATCACGACTTTATTTTATTGGTTTTTCCATTTATAAACCGTCGAAAAGCAACAAACATCAGTCTTTGGACCCAGAAGTGAGAAATATGGGAACAAAACGTCTAATCATATGTTTGGTATTAGTTGGGCTTTTAGCCCAAAATGTAAGCCCAGGTGAGTGCAGGAAATATTTCAATATTAATATTATTTTATATATTCCCAAGGAAAAATCATATTCCGTCTCTCACGTATTTACCTGATTTACTATCAATGTAGGAGATGACGGTTGGAGTAGCAGGCGTGTAAATAGCCGTGCCCTCTTTTTACTGTGTGGGAACAAAAATTACGGTCCAGCACGAGGAGACGCGTGGACCCAACACTGTCCTGAAAAAAAAATTCTTAAAAACGTATCTGGCGGATGATGTAATAGCTTACAACTATGCGGGATAAAAGCAAGTCACTTACCTGGTGCAGCTCGCTGGTCTTCTTGGTAGCCACCTCACTAGCACTTCACCATGGATAAGTTTGCGTTAGGAGAACAATAGGAGTCGGGCATAAGTTAATAATAACATAATAGGAGTAGGGCCCGCCATGTCAGTGTGGGCCTTTATATATGATATGAGCTGCGCGTGTCGTTACAACAGCGCCAATCAGAATACGAACGGGAAAAGTATTAGCAGCATGAACGAACCCTATAATTTCAAACCAGTTGCAAGCGTTAGTGGGCGAAGCTAGACAGTTTTCTGTCCTTATCAGTATGCTAATGTGGGACAGAGAAAGCGCTTTTCATGGTTCACTCAGTGAACCGTGTATAATACCTTTAAACGAGCAATTCTTGTATATTTATTTATATATACCGGCGATCTCGGAATGGGCTGTAACGATTTCGCTGAAATTTGGCATGTGGGGGTTTTCGGGAACGAATAATCTATCTAGATTAGTCTTATGTCAAGTTGTGTTTTCAATTCTTTTTCTAAAATAGCACAAACTGGTCTATCCCACGGGAACCGTTGATTTTTCCGGGATATAAAGTAAACTGTTCTTTGACCGGCAATATAAGGTATCAGCATGCTAAATTTTACTAAATAAGTTATTGTGTACTAAGCTGTATAAGTTACTATAGTTATTTGATTATCCCACGGGAACTCTTCAATTTTCCGAGATGAAAAGTATCTACAATGTTGACTGGGGATATAAAGCACCACCATACAAAATTTCATTTAAATCGGTCTAACAATTTCGGATATTACCGTACAAACACACAAACAGCCAAAGAAACAAAAAAATTAAATAAAAACTGAATTTGTTGTATTTCTCTTCTTACATCCCCCCGGCAAGGTTTTTAGCATTTTTTTCTGTGTACAGACATTCGATCTCTACAGTTTTGTTATATGTATGTATATAATATATGATAAGATAAAGTAATTCATATAATAAATAATAAATAAATACGTCGGGACATTAACACACAGCGCCATCTAGTTCCATGGTAAGCTACGAGGCTTGTGTTATGGATACCAGATAGTTGATACACTACACATATATAACTTTAAATACATACATATTATAAATATAAACCCATGACTGGAGTGCAAACATTCGTCATCACACAAATGAATGCCCCCAGCGGGACTCGAACCCGCGACCGCTGGCACAGAAAGTAGGGTCACTACAAACTGAGCCAAGCGTGTCGTCGAGAATTATGATATATCAATTATGATTATAAAATTTATCATTTTGTAGATGACAGCGATATATCCGGATCTACAAGTGCAGATGCCTATGCTAGTGGTAACTGTTTTATTATTATATTGTTACTAGTTTTTATCCAAATTATGGGAAATAAGATATACGTAATTATTCGTCCGATAATAATATTTTCCGGTCAGCAGTTGTCGCTTGTCACGAATATCTGCGACTTATTTATATTCGAATAAAATAATCGATTATAAGGTCCAGTAGTTGATGTGTGCAAGAAAAAAGATAATAACAGTAACCTATCTACCTAAAAATAGAAATTCCAAACTATGAACATTAAAAATGTTATAGGTCTACTAACGAGTTTTTATGTGTAAAAAAATAAAAGCGCTCTAATATATTGAGCTAGAACTGGAGTTTTTTAAGAAAATATTTCACGTCATAATAAAATAATTTGATTTGATTTTAACCTACTAGGATATACATATTTTTTTATTTAAGTCTATTGAATCTTAATTAGGAATTTAATATGTTAACTATCGATATTTTTTTAAACCTTTATAACCCAATACGTTAGAATTGTTTTTTTAATAGGAACGTTATTTATCACAAGCCGATTATAATCGGACAAATAATATACATAATTTTAATTTAACCATTTATCTTTATATATATATATATATATATATATATATATATATATATATATATATATATATATATGTGTATATATATAACCTATGCTTGAGTTTAGCATACCAAATATTTATGTAATGTAGCAAAAAATAAGACACTAGAAATAAGCCTTTATTTCTTATTTCTATATCCTTTATTTCTATTTGCACTTCCAACAATAAAACTAGTGATCAGTCATGATTTTTATTTTTCTAGTAGATTGATTACTAAAACTTCTATAACTTTTTAGTCGTACTGAAACCAACATTTACAAATAATTCACAGCCTCCATAGACGGCAAAGGATCCGCTGAAGCTGATGCCATGGCTAGTGGTCAGTCATGATGTTTCTTATTATAGTACATTTATTACTCAAACTTGAAGGGTTTTTAATAATATAGTTTTAAAATTCATTTTTAGTTGAAAATAATGCCGGTGGGTCTAATGAGGCAAGTGCAGATGCTAGTGGTAAGATCAAACTTAGTAATTCATGTGTATTAAAACACAAAAAATATTCTCGTTCTATTTAATGAAATTTATTAATAATTAACAGCCTCCGTCGACGGCACAGGATCTAGTAGAGCTGGTGCTAGTGCTAGAGGTAAGTGAGGATGATGTCTATATCTTTATATACATAGTACTGCCCTAATAATGTTACAAAGAAAAATACATTTTTTCTATTGCACGTA